GAACTCTCTACTCGTGACAACTCATCCCGACTCTGCCACCAACCACAGCTGTCGTGAGTCTACGGAGCGTCAATCGAGAAAGAAATTATCGCATTTGATTAAAGCGCTCAGCCGACCCAATGTTCTGGTGGCGCAATACTCTGCGAGTGGGAAAACTGACAGTTGAGGAGGCACATTGGGAAATCTGTGAAAAACACAATATTGGATATGAAAGGAAACATACAGAAGTAGAACAGCGATCAAACCACCGCCTCAGACTGACCAACACTCGAGATCTGCATCTATCGACAAGGAGATATACTGGTACAACCCATTGCAGTCTATTCTATTGCTGGTGATCTGCTACGATTCGGAAATGGAGTGGTATGAACCAGATTAGAGCAGTATTCAACAGCAGCAGCAGTGCTGCTCTTTCCATTCAAATAAGTTACAAAATTGTCACTTCTCTTCAACAGGCCTCTATTCTAATCCAGTTTATGAGCCTGGCCTTGGAACGGCATGAACGGGAGTGGGTGTTGCTGTTGTTGTTGTTGACCTAACATCAGTTCCCTCATTCCGAGTCGTCACCCATCTTCCCCTCAGAGTAGAAAAATATGCACATGGTCAACTACGTGTCGGCGACAATATAAAAATTTTGGGGAAACTCTGGAAAATTCTTGTTAGTTCTTAATCTTATTGTATATAAACTCCCAAATGAGGGAGGGAACTCCTGAGGTCAGCTTTGAAAAACAAAAATACATTCCTCTTCCCCCACCACGCTACCTGTCTGCTGCCTATCCGACTGCTGCTGTTGCTGTTGCTGCTGTAGTAGTGGCATCCCCAACGTCTGTTGTTGTTGCTGCTGTTGAGTCGCTCCCTGTTGACCATCCAGGAAAAGGGCGGAAGTGGCGGTGACATCAGCACCACCTGAGGAAGGGTTGCCACTCAACCCAGTAGAGACGAGTCGTGAACTACCCCCTCCTATGAGCTGTGTATACAGGTTGGCCCGGAGATCGGTGTAACTACAAGCACGTATTAGCATACCATCTTTTGCGGAACTCCCAACGGCGTTATTACATCTTGCACGAGAACACTAAGCAGGCTCCCATCACCAACGTATCCTGACAGAGACCCGAAATTCCCATACCACTCCTCCCTCAAAAAGCCGCAAATCACAAGACAACACCCCGTCTCATCCCCATTACCATGACCATGGTGCCTAGGATGACCCCCTCCAATCCTGGTGTGAGCTTCAAAGAATCATGAGTCTTCTGATCCATACCCTAATCGACCAA